CTTACAGATTTCAAAGGAAACCTCCAATAAAATTTTATATATATATATATATATAAATAAAATATAAAAATAATTTTGTTGTTAAAGAAAAAAAAACCAAGCATCCACTGAATATTATTGCTGGTAGAGGTTGAACTTCTATGGTCTAGGAGACTCTGGTCCAGCAACATTGAACCACAGATGTTGCTGGACTAGTGAACCCCAGCGCAGAGGTTGCTGGTGGCTGAGAGCAGAGCAAGCCAGCAGGGCCAGTGGCGCTCACAAGCACTGGAAAGGCTGCCACAGCCAGGTGGCCAAGGGAACAGTGCCAGATGGCTAGGGAGAGCAGCTCAGTGGGGAAGCTAGCACCCCTCCTCCCAGACCTCTCCTGGTCCAAACTCCCTCGTTCAGGACCTGTCAGGTCCAAACGGTGCTGGATCAGGGAGGACCAACCTGTATTATATATTACCTGTTATTTTAAAAAAATTAAGGGCATGTTTTCAAAAAAATGCAGTTTTGAAATGATTAAAGTCCAATATATGCAATACTGGAATATTACACAGTATTGTGCAGGATGCTTTCACAGCATACATGCTATAGTCTTATATTAATGAAATAACAACTACAATAAAAACGCAATCATAATAAAATACAGGATTATGTAGCACTTTAAAGACTAACAAGATGGTTTATTAGATGATGAGCTTTCGTGGGCCAGACCCACTTCCTCAGATCTGGCCCATGAAAGCTCATCATCTAATAAACCATCTTGTTATTCTTTAAAGTGCTACATAATCCTGTATTTTGTTTCAGCTACACCAGACTAAGACGGCTACATTTCTATCACAATCATAATAGTCTTAGTATATTTCAGATAGTGAGAGAAGTGATGCATTTATATAACCCTGTATCCCCAACTCCTTCCTAAAATTCCACCTCCCACCCAGACCCCATTCCTCTCTCATGTGCCCTACCTCCTGCCCAGACCCTGCACTCCCACTGTAACCTAACTTCCCCCCCAACAAACCACCCCACCTCCTACCCACTCCTGCACCCACCTCCCACCCAGACACTGCACCCCTCATGCCACTCCCCAGCAACTCCTTCCTGCAGACTGAACCCCTCATTTTGGCCCTCCCCCACAAAATCTACCAACCCTAGGCCCCTGAAAAAGTTAATTTTGCCCTAGGGGGGAAGGGGTCTGAGCCTCGGCATCTCCCCTCCCCACCAGACTGGAGTGCCAGGGAAATCCTGGCGCCCTGAGTTGCATGAATAAGGTGAATGTCATTTTTTCTATTTCTCAGTTGGGGGCCATGTCAGTGAAGGGGTTTTGTTTTGTTGGGATTTTGTTTGTTTGTTTTTTGTTTCTCACTTGTGTGTGTAATACCTGACTTTTTCACATGGGTCTTCTTATCCCAACCCCAAAAATGCCCCCCCCCCCGCTTCCAGTTAAACTATTAGTTGATTCGTTTGTAAAATATGAGAGTCCTTGCATTTTTAGATCGCTAAAAAAGAAAAAAAATCAATACTAAACAAACAAACAAACCATTCTTCATCCACAGATGAGGCACTTAGACTCCAACCCTGCAACTTACTCCTCAGAGGCAGAACCCTATGCACAACCTTATTGAAGTTAATGGTAGTCTTCACTTGAAAAATACTATGCATCTTGATATAGTACATTTAACTTATTAACTGCCTCTTAGTTGCCATTATCAGTAGGCAGCTACTAAGTGTACGGCAGACTTGCAGGGCTGCAGCCAAGGAAAGAAGCACTAGGACATGCCTTCCTGGATGCAGCCCTACAAACCTACTTAGATATGGTAAATAGCACATCTCAGAACTTCCTGCCCTGACTACATCTCTAGGTTTGTGGGGCTACTGCCAAGCATACAGTACTTTTTTCTGAAGCCTAGAAAATCTGCCTGTAGCTGGGAGAGGAGACTACCAGCTGAGCAACTGCAGGGAAGTTTGTTGAGCTGTAACCAGGAACACCACATCCCATGACTTTTTTGCTAGCTGCAGCCCAGCAGACAGATTTGAAGAGCTATAGTCATGGAAGGAAGCTAGATGTGCCAAGCCCAGACCCACAGGGATAGGAAAGGGCAGAACCAGGAGAAAACATAGAGAGATACTATGCAGTGATGTGGCCCGCCAGTATTCCTGATCCCCCATGGAAATCCCTGCTATCCGGGCTGCATAAACCTCTTCCTGTAGCTGCCAGGCCCACAGCTTCTCCTCTCAGCTGCATGCAAGCTGGCAAGGCTGCAACCATGGAACATGTCAAAAAGTTGTCAATCTAATATATAAAGGAGAATGTTTGTATATTTGTGCGCTAAAAACTTGGACACTAAAAGAGCTAACTTTGCATGGGATAACCTTTTATCCAGAAGAAGATTTTAAGGTACTGTGGGAGGGAAGAGATGAGACACCAATGCCTATCCCCAGGGCTGCACAGAGTTGGCAGTACTAGGAGAAGAGGCTTCCTGGGGCAAGCCACGAGGACAGTCACTCACTAAGGTCGGTGAAGGGACAAGAAAGCGGAGGGCGGGCTTGGACGCTGGTGACAGGCTTGCAGCTCCCTTCCCCATCCCACCCCTTAGGCTCCTCACCTCAGTTATATCAACTGTCAAATTATATTTCAACAACGTATACTGACAAAGCACAAGGACAGTCACTTAAAGTAGTTAGAATTGATTTGAAGACATCTTACTTTTCACATGGACAACTCTATGTTGCGTGTTCAAGAGTTGGAAGTGGAAAACATTTGTACATATTTGTTAAGAATAATGAAATAAAAAATATAGTTTACAATAAAGTTTTTTATGAGAACATGTAAAATTGGTTGTTTTATACTTTTTTAATATATATTTTAATCCCTATAGAACTCAGTGCAACTTTTCTACCATTCAAAAAACGATAATGGACTACTGTTTTTCTAAATTTTGTTCCTCCACTTTCCCAAGCAATGCCGGGTAACTCCCACTAGTATTTTATATAAGATTCCCAACATTTGAATCCCATTAATACTGAAGTCAATGGAACAGGATTGGCTCCTGGCAACATGTTGCTAATAAGCCAGAAGTTATTATCAGAATTGCTATTAAGCAGCATCTACTGCATAGACAAGATATACTGAGCTTCTGAAGCAACATGGAAATTATTCAATATATTTGTAGAAACTTCTCTTTTCATTTAGGTGTATTTCGTCCATAAGCTAGGTGTTCCATCTCTGAAAACTGAAAGCAAGGTTTGGCCAGTATTTATAATGGTAATCACTGTAACTGATACATACTTTGAAAAACACTGCAACTGGTTTTTAATAGTCCCATGGATCATTTTAATGAAGTTTACATTCCAGCTCAGCAGAAAACTCAGAAATCTTCTTCCCTGTTAAGGAAAATATAGAAATAAGCTCAGCCCAGGAATCAATTTAAGATACATATCAAGTTAACTGTAAAAAATTGTTATTAGCATTCCATAAATGCAGTTCCTCAAGATGTGTTCCTCATGTCCATTCCAATGTAGGTATGTGCTCACTTCAATCACTGGAAAGTTTTCCCTAAGTGGTATCTGTTCAGTCAGCTCTGGTACCCCCTGGAGTTATGCTCTCATAGTGCAAGTATTTAGGGCAAACTCCAACAGAAGATGAGGCAGAGCAGTTTTGGAAGGAATATGAGCAACACATCTCAAAGAACTGTTAATGGAAACTTAACCGTTTCTTCAAGTGCTTCCTCATATCCATTCCAATGTAAGTGACACCCAAACACTTGCACAGTGGAAGGTTCAGAGTTCACTGACACACTGTCTTAACACTGCTCAGCCAAAACCTTTGTCTCTAGCTTGCTGGATGATGCGTAGCTCCTCAACTTTGGAAGCCCAGGGGGCCACAATGATACTCACAGCACATGCTGAGGACCAAAACTTTTAAGTGTGGTTACATGTACATGCAAATATATTTGCAAATATATGCGAATAGCTTATTTCACACTGACAAGCAAGAATACAAAGATTAATGCAAGACTACATAACACAGGACCCATTTCAGTCAGTTCTGCTGATATTAATAAAATGCAATATTTACCACATTTCCACCCATATAACAGCTCTTTTAATGAGCAATGACAGTCCAGGAATTTAACTACTAAAATGCATATCAACAGAAGACCATTATATTGACTCGCCATTGTGGAGCATGTCTCCAGTGGAGGCCAAGTTCAAAGGCTCCCACTTGCGGTCCAAGTGTTGCATAGCCTTGGTGTAATGGGACAAAAAAGTAGACTGACAACCACGATGCTACTCTACAAACATCCTGAATTGGAATTTGTCTCATAAATGCCACTTCCAATACTCGAGCTCTTGTAAAATGTGCTGTCAGTGGAGAAGCCTAGACCTTCACAAGTGGATACAGGAAGTGATCGATGATGAAATTCTCTGAGTCGAGACTGGATGGCATTTCATTCTGTCTTCAATGGTAATCTGCAGTTGTGAAGCATATATCCACAGAGGTGGATATTTGCAGTTATGAAGCATATATCTGAGGAGCTGCAGGCCTTTACTGGAAATGGCAGCACTGAAAGCAACCCACATGTCTGGCGATTGCTCAAAGGAGTCAGCACACCATGCAGGCAGTTCCTCTGGTGTGGCTGTATCACCCTCAGCCGTGCCCACCTGGACAGCTTCCACTGCCTTAGATTGCATTAATTAAGATGAGTGCAAGCCAAATACCCACTTCATATCCTCAGATATAAGTTTGGTATCTGCACAGGGCTCTACTGATTTCCGAAAAGATTTAGTCCTTTCTTTGTAAAACATTACTGCATGCCTAAAATCCAGTGACTGGAGTTTCTGTTCCTCCTTGTTATCATGCGGTTTGGATAGAAGACTAGAAGGAAGATATCCTGCTACCTATGGAGTTGTGAGACCACCTTTGGCAGGGAGGCTGGGTGTGACCGCATCTGAACCTTTTCCTTGAAACTGACCACGTGTGGAGGTTCTACAGTAAGAGCTCTGACTTCTGAGACCCTTCTGGAAGAAATAATGGCAACCAGGAGGGCCACCTTCCAGGGCAAGTAGACAGCATGTTACCAACAGTTCATATAGGCAGGTAAGGGCGCCTTGTGGCCTTTCCCACACCAAGTTGAGGTCCCTGGAAGTAAATGGCTTGCATACCGGTGGGCTTAGCTGCACCAACCCCCCAAGAAAACAATCACAGATTGTGTCAGAGAATACCAATCAACCATTCACCCATTGGCAAGAGGCAGATATCAGTACTAGATGGATCCTAATAGAGGATAATTAGGTTTTGCTGTTTCACGTATAGAACATAATCTAGAATAAAGGGCAGCGTTGACTGAGTAGGCAAGATGCCCTTTTGTGCTGAGTAGATAGAGAATCTCTTCACCAGATCAGTAACTCTAGTGCAGGAGTGGTGACTCTTTGGCCTGTGGGTCAGATCCAGCCCAAAATTGCTTGGATCTGGTCCATGGTGAGCCTCAGTGCCTCCCTGCTCCCTCTCCCACTCCACAGGGCTGGAACGCAAGCACAAGCAACCCTTAGCCTCGGTGCCCCATGCGGACTGGACCGTGAGTACTGTCAGCTCCAAGCCTTGGCACCCAACTGATTTTTCTCACTGGTGTGTGGCCCCCAATTAAAAGAGGTTCCCCATCCCTGCTCTACTGAATGGTCTCTTGTTCCCTAAAAGCATCTCCCCAACGGGCTCAGAGCATGCCATTTCTGTGGAGTTCAGCTAGGGAGCTTTCACACAGTGAGATGAAGAGACTCAAAGTTTGAATGACAGTTTGTCATGGACCTGAGAATCAAGCCAGAAATGCAGGCAGGCTGATTGGCATGTCCACTGACAGATCCAAGAAGGTGGAGAATCAGTGACACACATGTAGGCCAGGGCTATCAGGGTAAGACACGTCCTGTCCCTTCTGACCTTCAGCAAAACCCTGCGTATAAGAGGAACAGTGCATCCAAAGGGAGGAGAAAGGTATCTTTGAGTGAACTTAGGCTGTAGCTTAGGAAGGAACAGAAGGCTTCCTGTTGTGAACAGGTCCACTGGAAAATGACACTCACAACGTACAGGTCAACGTACCACTTATGATGGCTGGAACCATCTGCAGAGATAGTCCACTAACCAGTCCTGAAGCCTTCAATCAAGGTCTCAAGTGAGCTCCTCATCTCATTGCCAACACATCTGTGACAAAACACATTGACAGCTGGGACCTCAAGAATGTGACTACTAAACATACTGTCTACAAGTCTAGCCACCAAAGAAGGGTAGAAATCATTGACAGGAAAAGTGAGATCGCCTTGTCCAGATGCTGTTTGCTGGGTGAATATACCAATGTCAGTCAGGTCTGGGGAGCCATGAGCCATAGTTTCATGTTTTGTACCACATAGGTGCATGATACTATATGCCCAAGAGCTTTACACTGTTTTTTGCTGTGGTGATGGGGTGATTCTTAAGGTTCTCCATGAGCACTCCTAGAACTCTGAACAGGTTTTCCATGACAAAGGCTCTGGCCTGGGTCAAGTCAAGGACTATCCTGATTAATTGTATTTCTTGAATCAAGGAAAGGATAGATTGTCATGTGTTCATCAACAGCCTCCGAGCCTGGAAAGTTAACTGCATTAACTCCACATCTGCCTCCATGTGAGCCTTGGATTGACCTCTGATCAGCCAGTCATCAAGGTAAAGTACACCTCAATCCCTTATTTCCTCAGGAAAGCTGCAACAACTGCCATGCATTTCATCTACATCTGAGGGGCCGCTGACAACTTGAACACTGTACATTGGCAATGCCTGTGGCTCACAATGAATCATAGGAACCTCCTGTGTCCCAGAAAGGCTGCAATATGAAAATGTGTGTCCTTCAAGTTGAGAGTGACCTACCAGTCCCCTGGATCCATAGAAGAGATAATATCTCTCTCTGGAATCCTTTGAAGCGAGTAAGATTTCCCCTTGAACGCCTATAACTGATGAATATGTAGATGAAAAATTAGGCCAATTCCAGCAAGGAACACTCACTCTGTGGCAGTGGCTACCTGTGAGGTTTCTATCTCTAGCAGTGCCCACACCAGCAGAGCCAATAAGGGCCCAGGCACGCTCCTTAAGTTGGTCCCTCTGATCTTCTTCATGGAGACGTTGCTTGATCACAAAGTGTTAGCAATCTGAGCTAATGCAGACTGTAGTGGCGAGGTTGCCCCACTCTGGCAGAAGGGGCTGAAGCAAACTGGAGGGAGCCTGCACAAAGTCCTCGCCAATCAGGGAAGGGCCTAGAAAGAGCCAATGTGAAGGCAGCTTGCTGGGGCAGCCCTGTATATAGGAACTGCTCAGCAGAGAGAGAGGAGTTTGGTCCTGGCCAGGGAGGATACAGGTCTGGTTCCCAGGGAACACCTTAGAGAAAGCAGTGCTGGGCAGGCTCAAGGTATTTGACACAGTGAAGTTGTTCCTGTCGCTTCTGGTATTGCCATCCCGTGCCTCAAGCACACAGCATACCATAGACAAGGATGGCCTCAGTATTAAGACATTAGGTGCCAAAAGAGCAAGCCGGTCATGTTGCAGCACTAGCTTCCTCCCTCCCGTCACTTTTCTCTGGCACTGATCGGCACTGCTCTGCTCTGATAAATGAGAAGGAACACCAATTGATGATACCCAAAGACTGAAATGAGTCATGGTATTCAGCTGACAGCCTGGTCACTGACCCAATGGCAGATACCACTGCAGTAGCCATTCTGGAATCCCTGGCCTTTTCAGGGAGTCTAGGCTCCACAGTTCACAAGGTGCTACTCCACTGCATTGGAGTCAAGAGATCCTGCACCATTTCCCTTGGAGCAGGTCTCTGTTCTGAGCTGAGTACTGAATTGTAAGACCTGGCCTCACCGGACCCAGCTGATGCAGAGGGTGAGAAACAAGGCCCCTTACTAATATAGGTGTCCTCTTCCACCTCTCTTGATGAGAGGGTGTCGGGGACAATTATAGTGTTTTCTGAGGATTACTATCCGACACACCAGGAGCTCCTCAAGAGGCCAGTCTGGAACCTGGGTATCCAGGTGGAGGAGAACTCTGAATCCTCCCATGTCCTGGTGGATCTCTCAGAAGCTTAAAGGCCATTCTTTGATCAATGGCATTTTGGACCCAGAAAAAGTGAGATGCTTCTGTGAAAAGCAAAAAAACCAAAAAACAAAGCAAAAAAACAAACCAACCAATTGAAATTTAGGGGAGGGACAGAGAAAACTGAGGTTCAAGGCTTCAGGCCAGATTAACTTTTCTGGGGTTCCAGAATTAGTGGATTTTGTGAGCCACACTAGGCTGTGGGGTGGAGCAAAAACTGAGGGGTTCAGCATGCAGAACAGGCTTGCCAGTGAATGGGATAGGGATGGTGATGCAGGATCTGGGTGGGAGGTGGGGTGTAGGAGCAAGCTGGGAATAGGGTGTCATGATGGGAGGGGGAAGGTGCAGGAGCAGGCTGGGGGTTGGGTCTCTGGCAAGGAGGGAGGGTACAGAAGGGTAGGAGTAAGTGTCTGGCCAGGGAGTGCAGGAGTAAGGGAGGGTGGAGGAGCAGGCTGGGGGTAGGGTGTCGGGTTGGGGGGGGAAGGGGCAGGAGCAGGCTGAGGGAGTAGGTGTGTGGCCAGGGAGGAGGGGGAAGGAGCAGGTTGAGGGTGAAGGGGGAAAGTGCAGGAGCAGGCGGGGGGGGGGGGCAGGGTCTGGACATGAGGGGGCTTTCGCACCCCGCGTCACTCCCAGAACCGTGTCCCAAACACAGCCTCCTGCTGCTCTCATTGGCTGGATTCTGGCCAATATGAGCACAGGGGAAAGCATCAGTGCACTGCTGGTTCCCACAACTGGGGAAGGTGAAGGGAAGCGGCAGCACACAGAGCCACTTCTGGCTCCACCCCCTCCAACTCTGCCTCCTCTCCGCAAGCTAGATCCAGCAGGGAAACTCGGGGCTTTCTCCCCCCACCCAGAAAGCCAGCGCTAGTGCTCCAGTCTTGCGGAGGGCCATGAAGCTGAAGCATCAGAGCAAACTCCCTGCTGTGGGGGAAGCAGGGGGTGGGACTGAGCTCAAGCTGCAAAAGAGCAATATTTGGATCCCTATTGCACCATATTTGGCTCAGGACCCATAGGTTGCCAATTCCTGACTCAGCAATTAAGCAAATTCTCTGGTTCAGCACCAGTCAAATCTGGAGGGTTTTGGACTAGAGAGGTTCAATCTATATTTCCAAAAATACTATATCACGAAAAGATATTAACTTCTTTCAGAGTTAACATTTAAAATATTTTAAAACATATGGAAAAGCATAAAGGGAAAAATCTGTTTACCTCTTCTTTTTTTATATGGTTAACACTCATAAAGCACTGAAGCAACAAATCTTTTACTTCATTACTCTCCTCCAGATCATAATCAAAGAACAGTAACGTCTGATGTAAATGCCATAGGCGAACTATATCTGCACCCTAAAAAGAGAAACACAGCTATGCTGTAGTTAAAGTAAAAACAATTAAACTTTTAGACTGCTGTCCAAGAGCTCTCCTCCCAACCATATTTCAATTTCAGGACCTGAACAAAGTCCTGTCACAGAGGTAGTGGTACTTTTTTAGGCTGCATAAACATTAATTTCTCTAATATATAGGGGAGATTTGAATTGATTAAAACACCACACAACCATGGGGGGTGGGAGGGAGAAAGACTTGCAGTGGATACACATTTACATGTTAGGGGACGGGGGAGGAGGAAGCCGATTGCAGGAAGCCGGCTTTAAAGCTAGCTTCTGCGTGCACCAGCTCCTATTCCTCTACCCTCCAGCCCCCGCTGTCTCTGTATCAGAGGCGGGGGGGCGGGGGAGAGAGTATCACTGGCTCCCACCTCCCCATCTTGCTGCCTGGGGAGAGGAACTGCTTCAGAACACAGAAACTGCCAGAGGAAAGATTACAAAGTACTCTGGACTAGAAGGCTTGGGAGATATCCATAGTTAGCAGAAGAGAGACTACAGGATTTTACATCACTACTCCTTAGCAGTGCCCGATTTCCTGACCCCTCAAAGGCCAGCACCCATGATACCACATAATAAAAACGAATGTAGCATGAGACTGAATTAAAAAAGGATAATTTCTGGAAAGTGCTGAGCACATATATTCTGAAAAGCCCCCATAAAAGGTTGTTCTGGAATGACAGCCCCAAATTGAGTCCCCTGAAATCATTAGGCACTCTATAAATACTGACCATTAACTTTTTGGAGAGAGCAGGCAAGAGTAAGAAGGTTTCAGGAAAATAGTAACAATCACAAGATTTCATTTTCAAAAGGACTGAACTTAACTTACATCAGACTATAACAATTTAAAAACACAAATTGCATGACAGGTGCCCATTACAGACAACTTATACCTAATAAGCCCTGAACATAGGTTGTATACATGAAGGATAGTTTAGAGATGTACAAATTTTGAATATTCGGTAATAATTATGAAGTTATCCACATAGCTTCAATATACCGTAACAGTTTTGCTCTTCAGACTTTTTCTTAGCATCATAATAAAAGCTGTTTTCCCCAGCTGTTCTTTTCCTTCCAGTCCTTTCTCCCACCACATTGCACATAAGTGCTGGATGGCACTTTGTAGGGCTTTTTCAGATTCAGATAATGCATAGAGAATACCTACAACAAATGCAAAACAATTATTTACGATAAGTCTAATCAAACTCTTGTGGCACAACAGGCTATTAGCATTCAGCCTATTGAATTTGTCTCATGATTCCTACCTCAAAGTACTGATTTTCCTACATTGGTGCCCCACAATACCAATCACAAATTGAAAAATAAGTTGTTTAGGTTTACATAAATGATTTTCTATTAAGCTCCAAATTATTGGTCAGAGTATACTGGCTCAGCAACAATTTAATTTTGTAAGAATCACCCATTTTAATAGTGAGAAAGATAAAAGGTACATACTTACTTCACATGGGGTAGTTAATTGGCTAATGTTTGTACAGAATCTTGGGGGTAAAGATACACAGCTTAGTTTTGGCCATCTCTAATTATAACCTCCACCCCATTTCTCTTTCTAGCACATAGCTAGAATACTAGATGTTCTACACTTTAAAAAAAATACTGTTCTGAGATACTTAGTGCTACACTAGCTTACACAAATGCACTAGGAATCCACAAATCGTCAACAGATGAACATGTAAATAAGTTGGTGATAAATTTATTTCCACATGCTGGCTTGACTCTTGACCAAACAGTCACTGAAGCAATAGGTTATATTTATGTGAAGGAGGGATTACTTTTCTTTTTTTGAATTCTGAAGTTGGTGACAGCAACTAAGAGATTAAGAGAGGCAATGTCAGATTATGACATCCTTGCTTCAAGGGCGGTCCGCTTCATAAATGACCAGAGTATAAACTAATTCTTATTAATTTCACTTTGGTGCTCAGGTTTCTAAGAGGAATTCTTCAAGGAAAAATTGAATAATCCTAGTAAGTTCCACTTTGCAGAAAGCTATTTTTGCCATATTATGTTACTGATTTTTAGTTAGCATTTTCTTAATTCTAATAGAGTAAAACTATGATGGTACAATAATCAACAGTATGACAGGTTAACAACTTCAGTCAATCATCATCTCCTTCATACTAAAGTCAAGCATTTAGTATGAATGTATTTCTCCTCAGTTCTATCCCCCGAACAGTGTATATTTAGAGCTACATCTACACAGCAGTGTTATTTCAGAATAACTGGCATCATTTCAAAATAACAAAGTAGTGTGTGTCTACACTACAAGCCTTTATTTTGGAATCACGTCGAGCCAGAGGACTTCGTACTCCAACTCCTGTAACCCTCATTTCACGAGAAGTAAGGGAAGTCGAAGGAAGAGTGTTCTTCCTTCAACTTTCTGATTTGTAGACAGCACCTAAAGCCAAGTTAAGCTATTTTGACTTAAGCTACACAATTGACATAGCTGAAGTTGAATAGCTTAAATTCAACTTTAGCCTTACTGTGTCCATGGAGAGAAAACAGGAGTCACTAAGATACTAAGAAAAAAACCAGCAAGTAAATGGTCTGGTAGCACTTTATAGACTAACATGTAGATGGTATCATGAGCTTTCATGGGCACAGCCCACTTCTTCAGATGACCAGAGTTATGATTAGAGGATAAGGAAACTCGAAATAAATAGGAGAAGGGAAGTGGGAAGGAAGAAAGATGTTCTGTGGCCCACCCCCCTACCTCAATGCATAAAGTATCAGGAGAAAGGGTGTCAAACCTGAGTAGATTAAGATCAAAGTCAGTGGATGGATAAAGCAGGAAGGATACCATTCAGAAAGTAATAGAAATGTAGCCGTGTTAGTCTGGTGTAGCAGAAGCAAAATACAGGACTATGTAGCACTTTAAAGACTAACAAGATGGTTTATTAGATGATGAGCTATCGTGGGCCAGACCCACTTCCTCAGATCACTATTTCTTCCACTATTTGATCTGAGGAAGTGGGTCTGGCCCACGAAAGCTCATCATCTAATAAACCATCTTGTTAGTCTTTAAAGTGCTACATACACAATACAGCAGGATTTTTATTAGATGGACTGTAATCTTACTTTTTGGAGGAAATAAGGAATCCCAATTAGGATATGTAGCCTACTTCCTCCCATCTTTAACAATAAGCTGTCTCAGTAAATAAAGTTTACAGACTAAAATATCAGCATCACCAAAGTTTACCCCTTTATTCAAGCTACAGCAAAACCAAAATGACTCAACCATTATCAGCATACCAATATCAGTTTACTGTATAACATAACATATTACGAAAAATACTCACCATTTAATATTAGAGCACATTCTAGAAGTGCTTTGTAGTTTATATTTTCATCTACTACAGATATCGAAGCAGTAGCGACAGTTGTTACCCCTTGGATCACAGCTATTATTTGTTTCTGAAAGTTAAATAGCAAGTCATCTTAAGCAAAATGAAATTATTTTCTTTATAAAACTCAAGAGGCTTCAAAATGTTATAAATCTGAAAGAAACAGCCTCAGAAAATAAGCATTAGCCATGAAAAGTGAATATGTATTGCTCAAACTTAAATGTCTGGAAAGACGACCAATTGTTTTGTTCAATATTAAATGGAAACTATCACGTGAATTGTGGCACAAAATTTATATCTGAAAAAACAAAAGTTTTTACAAAATTCAATTTCAAACAAAAGTTTTTGGATTTTTATTATTTAATTCCTAATGTATTTACTAATACAGAACTTTTGTTTAGATTTAATACACAATCCTGGTTTGCAATATGTATTTTACATCATGTTGCCATTTGAGAGAGAAGAAATTGTACCTACTTTACAGGGGTTTTTTTAAATTATAAATGATTTACTCCACAAATTGTTTTAACTCCTCATATGCAATATGCTATATAAGATAAAGCATTTATTTGGTTAGTGCAACAGTTCTCTAATTTTTATAATTTGCGGACCACTGTATAAGATTCCCTTATGTCAACCTCATTATGTCAGCCTCTACATCACAGCCTTGCTTCCACTGATATGTAAAAGGAAGTTACTCACCCTGTGCAGTAACGACAGTTCTTCAAAATGTGTCCCCCCCCGTACGTGCTCCACTGTAGATTTCGTCTCGCCCCACTGCCGCAGTTCGGAGTTTTGCTCAGCAGTAGCTGGTCGGGCTGCGCACGTGCACATGGCGTCTCATGCCATTGGTGCCCATAGCACGCAGCCTGACCCCTCAGTTCCTCCATGGGAGCCCAAGAACCTAATAAGAGCAATGTGGAGGAACAGGCTGAAGATGGAGGGGTGGAGGGTGGGTAATGGAGCATCCATGGGGACACACATCTTGAAGAACCATCGTTACTGCACACGGTGAATAACTTCCTTTTCTTCTTTGAGTACTGTCCCCATGGGTGCTCCACTGTAGGTCACTTTGTAGCAGTTGTCAGATGTAGACTGGATGGCGGGCTTCAGAGTCACCTATTGGAAGCGGTGGATAGGACTGCTGTAGCTACTGTAGCATTGCTTGAGAGGTTTTTAGGAACAACATAGTGCTTCATAAAGGCAGCAGCCCTGCAAATGTTCCGTAAGGATACACTGCAGAGAAATGCTGTGGTGGTAGAAACTGCTCTTGAAGAGTGAGCTCTGGGCAGAATTGAGAGAGATTTCCGTCGTCGTTTGTAGCATCGTGTAATACCCTATACAATGATGTTGGATATTCGTTACGAGGAGAGTGGTCTGCCCTTGCATTGGCTCAGCACTGAGACAAAATTGTTGGGAGGTGCAAAAGACTCTCAGCTGAATGTAGTACCCTAGTGCTCTGCAAACATCGAGAATATGAAGTATTGCCTCCTGTGTGGGTGACTGTGGTTTGGGATAGTACGTGTGGAGAATGATTGGTTCATTAACAGAGAAGTCCAATGACAGTTTAGGCAAGAAGGAAGGGTGAGTTTGTAAGGTAACTGTGTCTTTAGTAAAAACATATACGGTGGGGTCGCAGTTAGAGCTGCAAGATCACTGACTCTATGTGTGGATATTATTGTAAGAAGACAGATCACCTTTATTGACATAATGTGTAGAGGACATGTAGCTAGAGGCCCAAATGGTGGTCTCAAAGTGTTGAACACCAGTTCTACGCTCCATGAGGGGGGTGGGTGGAGGTCTTCGTGGAGGGGAAATGTTCTGAAGACCTTTAAAAAGCCATCTAGTGACTGGATGAGCAAAGACGAAGTGCCCCTGTACAGGTAAGAGAAAAGCACTGATTGCCAATCAATGGACTCGGATTGATGAGACAGAAGATTTCCGTGTTTCAAATCCATTATGTAGTCCAGTATCTTATGAAGTGGAATAGTCTGTGGATCTAGGCCGGCTCATTTGCACCATTTGGAGAATCTCATCCATTTACAGAGACAGGTGGTGCAGATAGTAGCATGTCTGCTGTGAAAGAGGACCTCATTCACTCGGTCAGAGCAGAGTGTCTCAGCATCTTGAAACCAGAAAGGAGTCATGCAGTCAATGGAGGCTCCGAGGATTGGGGTGCAGTGGGGTGCCCCTCTGTTGGGTTAGGAGATCGGTACGATATGGTAACAGGAAGGCGGGTTGAAGAGTCATTTGAAAGAGATAAGGAACCACATCTGGCTGGACCAGGCAGGGGCTATTAAAATTACTTCAGCCTGATTTTCTCCAGGGTTTTTGGGATAAGTGCAGTGTGAGGGAATGCATATAGGAGATGTAATTTCCAAGAGATTACAAAGATGTTGCCTAGTGAACCCTGTCCCAGGCCTGCCCTGGAGTAATAGCCTGGACATATTGTGTTCTTATGGGAGGCGAAGAGGTCGACTTGGGGAAAACGCCACATCCGAAAAACACATCAGATAACTTGAAGACTGATCTCCCATTCATGATCTGTATGGAAGTATCTGCTCAGGTTGTCTGCATCTGTGTTATGTATTAAGTACGTTACAGTCAACATGATACTCTTGGCTATGCACCGTTTCCATAGTTTGGACCGACTCTGTGCATAGTGAACAGGATTGTGCTCCACCCTGGCGATTTATATAATACACAGTTGCCATATTGTCTGTCAGGATTATGACGGTGCGATTGATAACATATGAATGGAAGTGTTTGCAGACATTGGAGACTGCTCAGAGCTCCAGAATATTTATGTGTAGCCATTTCTCTTGGTTAGACCACTGACCCTGAATAGCAAGGTCTTGGAAATGTGCTCCACATCCTATTAGGGAAGCATCGATTATGATTTGCACCAATGGATGACTGCATTGGAAGGGCACACTTGCCAATAGGTTAGTTGGATAGGACCACCATTTGAAGGAAGCTATGACCTTGGCGGGGCGGGGGGGGAACACTTTTTCAGGTTCAATGTTTTGATGGAGTGTAAACCGAGGCCAGCCAACGTTGCAGGCATCTTAGGTGCAGGCAAGCATTCTGAACTACGTATGTCGTGGCCGCCATGTGACCCTTGAGTTGCAGGCATGTGAGGACTGTCAGACAGACTGTTGGTGATTATGGTAATCAGGTCTTGTATTGTATGGAATCTCTGCCTCGGGAGGTAAGCGAGTGCTTGGGTAGAATCGAGATGGGCAGCTATGAATTCCAACCACCGAGTAGGGTGGAAGGTGGATTTTTGGTTGTTGATTATGAGACCCAGAGATTGGAATAGGTCTCGCATCACAGATATCATATGAACAGTTTCTTCCTTCAATGCTCCCTTTATGAGGTATCGTTGAGGTATGGGAAGATAATCACACCTTAACGATGAAGGGCCGTGGCTACTACAGCTAGTGTCTTGGAAAAAACTCATGGGGCCGATGACAGGCCAAATGGCAGAACATGATATTGAAAGTGGTCGGATCCTATGGTGAACTGGAGGAATCATCTGTGGATGGATGGATTGTAATATGAAAATATGCATCTTGCAGGTTGAGGGCTACAAATAAATCTTCCCTGTCCAGAGTTGCAATAATGGACGCTAGAGTGACCGTTTTGAATCGCTGTTTTCTGAGGTATTTGTTGAATCTTTGCAGATCTAGGATGGGTCACCAGCCTCTAGTGCACTTCTCCATCAGGAAGTAATTGGAGTAATTGTCTAGGAGCTGGTGGACTTCCTGTCTCAGAAGGTCTTCATGAGAGCAGTCCCTGAAGTGGGACAGGATGGGTGGGGAGGATGGAAGAATCGAGGTGAATGGGATGGAGTAACCAGAGGTGATTATTTCTAAAACCATCAATCTGTTGTGATGGCAGTCCAGAGACTGCAAAATGGGCATAAGCAATGATGGAAAATAACTGAGCGATTCTGATGGCAGGAGAGGTCAGGCAGGCCCCCCCCCAACCAATGTCTCAAACTTGCTGCAGGTGGGCAGTTGTACTGTTGCCTTCTCTTTAGAGGTTGAGCTCTGGATCGGCTCTGGTCTAAGGGTCTCTGTTGGTTCCTAGTATAAGGGAAGTCCCTGTGGCGATGGAACAAATAATAATGAGGATTGATCTGCATCTAACCAATTGGGGGGGTCACAGTCAACATCCTTGTGAACCTGTCATGGCTTAAGTTAATTTTTTTCCTTGCTACACCAAAACTCAGACCACTGACAGTATCTAAAACATCTAACTGGTGGGGTATACGTTCCAAGTGTTCGGAGCGTAGTGGATGCAGGTGTCTGCCTTACTTGAATGAAGGACTTTGTCCATCCTGGCAGCGAAGTTTTTCCTTATCAAAAGAGAGGTCCTTGACCTTCCCCTGAAGCTCCTTAGGCACCCCAGTGGATTGGAGCTACAAGCCTCGACACATTACTATTGATGTTACAGTGGACCTAGCCGAGGTGTCTGCCATGTCCATCGATATCAGGAGAAATGTTCGGGCAGTTCTATAACCCTCTTGTACTATCAATTTCAGTTTCAGCTTCTTATTGTTGGGAAGGTGTTCTATTACCTCTGCTAACCTGGCGTAATTGTCAAAATCATGGTTCGAGAGTAGAGCAGCACAATTGGCTACACTGAGTAGTAATGTAGAGGAAGAGTAAACCTTTCTTCTGAGTATGTCCACGCGCTTAAATTCCTCATCCTGTCGTGTATTTTTGTATTGTGAGATTTTTGAACATTGCTGTGCTGCATCCACTACCAGTGAATTGGGTTGGGGATGTATAAATAGAAAGTCCAGCCCTTTGGAAGGGACAAAGTATTTCTTATCTGCTCTTTTACTTGTAGGAGGCGCAGATGCAGCTGTCTGCCATATTTTGTCTGCTGCTTCCATTATGACCTCGTCTATTGGAAGCGCTATCTTTGGGTTTTTTTTGGATTGGCTGAAGATTTTTGAAGAGACAGTGTTGTTTCTCTCTAACCTCTGAAAGTTGTACTTGTTGGATTGTAGCTACCCTCTTGAAAAGTTCTTGGAACTGTTTCAGATCGTCCACAAGAGAAGAATCGCCAGGTATTACCGCCTCATCTGGCGACATTGATAACTAGTCTGTGGGAAACATATCTGGATGCTGGGTTTCTTCCTCCTCTATAATCTGACCTCCCTCCACCTCCAAGCAATTGATTGCTTAAGGGGCGTGAGACTGTGGGGAAGGTTGTGACTGTCTATGTGGTGGTGGGGGAGGAACAGAGGAGTAGAGACATTTAACTGAACGCCTGAAACATGGTGACCAATTACGGTGGGATAGCCCCATTCAGGTCTCCAGAGGGATGGATGATGGTATGACCTGGAGTACATGTACTTGCCGTAATATGATCTAGTGGGTGAGGAGTGTCTGGAGGAAAAAACACTCATGTGCTCTTGAGATGCACTGCGGATTGAGTGAACTGGGGATCTCAGTGATCTAACTGAGCTCCTGGATGACTGAGAAGATGGAGAAAGCTGCCTAGAGCGGTGGTCCCCAACCCAGTGTCCGCGGGCGCCATGGCCCCCACTGGGGCATTTATGTGTGCCCGAAGAATGATCTGGGCCAGCCCCGCCCCCGGGCACACAGTGCATGGGTGGCCCCTGCCCCAGGGGCGCGGCGCATGGGTAGCCCCTGTCCCTGGGCGCCCAGTGCGTGAGCGGCTCCGCCCCTGGAAGCCCCGAAAGGTTGGGGACCACTGGCCTAGAGGGTCTGGCATGTGATTGTGACGCCACCAGGGAGACATGAAGGTGTGGAGGACTGTGGCCTTGTTACGTGTTGTGAATTGGTGCTGGCGAATGAGGCACCAAAGATGGTGGTAGCAGTTCTGGCAAAAAAGTTGGTTCCGGGCTAGGAGATCTGTGGATGCAATCTGTTTTTGCGCGGGCCTTTTCCAGTGCCGACAATGCTGCAGAGGGAGTTCTTGCCAGTATCACTGACATAGTCAGTACCGGAGTTTTCGGCAGCACTGATATCAGTGCAGCTAACGGCACTGAGGGTTTGACAGCATGCCTTCAGTTCCAAGGACTTAGAGAGGAGTGCCCAGTGCCTGAGGTTCCCAGATTATCCCCTGAGCTAACTCGGACTGAAGTAGATACTGGCAGGGATTAGGAAGGTGAAATCCTCTTTTTTGACAGTGGCTTGGGCACTGGTGAGCTGGCCCTCTGTTTCTCAGGCCTAGGAGGATCTGGGCAAGCAGCCGAGATGCGTGTCTCAGAAGGCTGAAGTGCTTTATCAAAAAGGAGCATGTGTAGCCACATCTCCATGTCTTGTTGGACCTGGGCAGTTAACTTACTGCAATGGGCGCATTTTTGTGGAATGTGTGCCTCACCGAGGCAGCAGATCTAGAACGAATGGCCGTCTGAGACCGGCATAGCCTCATGACAGGTATCAGTTTTTAAAAATCAGGAGACCCTGGCATTGTGGTCACACTATTTTGGGAGAGAAGGTTAGGTTCACCTTCCAGTTTTCTCTTCTTTTCTGCTTTTCTCGTCTCTCCTTTTTCTTTTCCATTTTTTTTTGGGGGGGAGGGCGGAGTTGCTCGCAGCTAAGCAATAGCAGCTCCATTTCTGTTGTATTTTTTTAACAATAACTACACTACTAAGACTAATCTAAATAACTCTAACGAGGTTATGAGTGTTACTAATGGCTAAACTAACTAACGAAAGATTCTTAGGTAAATCTCTGGGGAGAACAGTGGAGTTCCATCTGCAGCCTAGGGCAGTAACAGAGGAACTGAGATGGGGTCGGGCCACACGCGCGAAGCAACGGGCCTGAATGGCACAAGACGCCACGTGTGCACGCGCAGCTCAACCAGCTATTGCTAGGCAAAATTCCGATCTGTGGCGCCAGGGCAAGCTGACACCTACAGTGGAGCACCCACAGGGAACTACTCGAAGAAGAACTAATTTGTTACACTAACATTATAACTCCATCTCCATTAGAGGCATAGGGCTTATATCTTTGTAGTTTGGTGATGCATTGTCTATGCTAGAGATATGACTACTTGAGTAGTCAACTAGTCACTACCACCTGCTGCCTCTATCAGAGGCAGCAAGGGGTGCGGGGAAAGCAGGAGCCAGTGCAGGGAAGAACTGGCAAAAAAGCTGGTTCCCCTCAGCACTGTCTCTGTGGGTGGGCAGAGGTGCAGCGAGGGATTGACCGTGAGCCAAGAATCAGCTGTCCTACCTTGCACCCACTCCCAGACACTGCGCCTCTACTTTTTAAATGTAGTAAGAGCCGCCAGGCAGCTCTTATTACATTTCGAAGGCAGAACCACAGTGGGGTTAGCTCCTGGGGCAGCACAAGGGGTACTACTTAAGTCCCAGTTCACGTCGCCCAGGGGAGCTAACCCTACTGCAGCTCTGCAGCTTAAATGTAGTAGGAACCAGGCAGCAGCCCAGCTCCTACTACATTTAAACTGCAGAGCCACAGCAAGCACCCCCTCCATCAACTAATGGAGTAGTTGATGGAAATTCCATAGCATACTCAATTAGCTGATTATCCCCATTTTAACATCCTTAGTCCATGCATACACTGAGTTATTTACGTTGGCTATCATTCTTGTCAATTTCATGGCTCCCTAATAGAGCTCTGAATTTGTAAAAGACTGATTTTGTAATAGCATTTGATCCATTAATATAAGGTTAGCATCACTCCAGTAAACTTTCAAAACTATTGTCTGTATAGAGAGCAAGAAAAGATTAAAGAGCATTAACTCTGAAAAATCTTGAGCTGTTTTTTAAAGTTATACGCAATTTACACCAATTCTGTGTCATCTCTAAGTGTATCTCTTTGCTGGTAGAAGATCCTAAGTGAAAGTACGCAGCATCTTGAACAGCATAATGGAAGATTTTATTTTACCATTTTTGGACTTTGTTCTACTTCCATATCATCATCATCACTTTCATCTTCAATCCTCTGCCATCCCTCCACTGGGTTTTCTATCAAAATTTGTGTTGTTAGTTGTGTCAGCCTCTCCCATAATGCTTCCTTCTGTTTTCTTGGTAATTCCTGAAGCAATTCATTCAGATCAAATGGATCCTTCTGTAAAGTGTTCAGAAACATTACAAGATACAAAATAACTAATTTATTCTGTGTAAGATTTACACTCATAGTCATACTGCAATAAAATATTTTAAACAAAACTCCATTTGCCTCAGTTATAACTTCTTTGAACCCTTAATATTATACCTGGTAATAAAGGGAAAATTGTTTGCTTGAAATTCAACATTAACTCAATCTTTTAATCTTTGAGTATAGTAGTAAGTGGGATCACTCATGAATCACATTCCCCAATGACCCTCAAACAATACCACCTTCTGAGTATAAATGCTCCAAATATTCCTTTCAAGAACTTCATGTCTAACAGCTAGAGAGAATGACTCTATTCTTATATTACAGAGTTATAATCAAGGAAAATCCTGCACTGATTATGTTTAAGATGAAAGTTTGTAATAATCAGTGAAGTTAAATGCAAGATAAACAGAAGAGATAAAAGTAAACGTGTGAGGGTCTACAGAAATAGGCTCTCCCACTCACAAAGAACTTAGCTGCAGGAAGGAGAGGAAGAATGTCCTGTTGTATATTGCACTACATCTAAGTCTTGCTACCAAAACTCCACCAGCTGCAGATCAGTTTAAGAGCTATAGAAATCTTAGCCATACTAATTTCTTAAGCTCTGTAGAATGAGACACTAATGCTAACGACCTTGAGAGGTCCAAAGTCTCATGGCTCCCCTCTTTAGAAGAGCTGATTGGAACTGTAGTTAGCAGAGGGCTCAGTGGCCACCAGACCAAGTACAATATTCCTTCTGCTATTAAGGAATTAATCTGCAAATATCTGGAAGAAAATAAGGTAATAGGCAACAGCCAGCATGGATTTGTAAAGAATAAATCATGTCAAACCAATCTGATAGCTTTCTCTGATAGGATAACAAGTCTTGTGGAGAAGGGAAAAGCGATGGACGTGGTATACCTAGATTTTAATAAGGCATTTGATACAGTTTGGCATGCACTTCTTGTCAATAAACTAGGATAACAAGTCTTGTGGATAAGGGAAAAGCGGTGGACGTGGTATACCTAGATTTTAATAAGGCATTTGATACAATTTGTCATGCACTTCTTGTCAATAAACTAGGCAAATAAAACTTACATGGGGTTACTATAAGGTGAATGCATAACTGGCTGGATAACCATTCACAGAGAGGAGATATAAATAGTTTAGAATCATGCTGGAAGGGCAATACAAGTGGGGTTCTGCAGGGGTCTATTTTGGGACCAATTCTGTTCAATATCTTCATCAACGATTGGCATAGAGAATAAGTTCATTCCATTTGCAGATGATACCAAGCTGGGAGGGGTTGCAACTGCTTTGGAGGATAGGGTGAAAATTCAAAATGATCTGGACAAACTAGAGAAATGGTGGAGGTAGAAAGGATGAAGTTTAATAAGGACAAATGCAAAGTACTCCACTTAGGAAGGAACAAATCATTTTCACACATACAGAATGGAAAGCAACTGTCTAGGAAGGAATACTGCAGAAAGGGATCTAGGGGTCATAGTGGACCACAAGCTAAATATGAGTCAACAGTGTGATGCTGTTGCAAAAAAAGCAAACATAGTTCTTGGATACATTAACGGGAGTGTTGTGAGCAAGACACAAGAAGTCATTCTTCCGCTCTACTCTGCTGCCCTGCTTCTGCCTGCAGGCTCCCAGCCTGGCCAGCACCTTTCCATGCCTTCTCCAGGGCATGGTAGTAGCAAAACTCACCTGGAACGTCTGTGCCCTGTTGGAAAGTGCCTGCTGGATAGGTCATGGATGGTCTTGTTCGAAGCACATCACCAAAGTCTGAACCTAGCCCTTTAGGTATCTAAAAGGGTGTCACACAAGGAGGAGGGAGAAAAATTGTTCTCCTTGGCCTCTGAGGATAGGACAACAATGGGCTTAAACTGCATCAAGGGAGATTTAGGTTGGACTTTAGGAAAAACTTCCTGTCAAGGTGGTTAAACACGGGAATAAATTGCCTAGGGAGGTTGTGGAACCTCCATCTCTGGAGATATTTAAGAGCAGGTTAGATAGACATCTATCAGGGATAGTCTAAGACCAGTGGTTCCGAACCTGGGGTCCGCAGACCATGGTACTATAGGGAATCCATGGAAAGTTGAGGAAAGGAAAGGAAAAGTAAGGATCAGGCCCATCATGGGACTGCGACTTTCCATCAGGTGACTCACCCGAGACTCGCTGTTTGAAACCAACTGCATGCACACTGCCTCCCGCCCTCAGGATGGGACCATGATACAGGAAGCACTATCCATCCTGCTGCCGCCAGCTGCACTGTCATTTACACTCCAGTCCTCTCCCTTCTCCCAGTCCTGCAATGGGCCCAATCCAAAGTTTTCTTTTCCTTTTCTTTTCCCCCCCTTCTACCAGGGTTCTTTGCCCGGCCACAAGAGCCCCCCCACTGTATCCTCCATAGATGGACAGGGGATGGAGGGAGTGGGAGCTGAGAAAGTGGTGCAGGCCAAGGAACTTGCTGGCCGCTGCTTCCTGCTGCTCCTCTTGGGGGAGGGAGGGCATAAAATTTTAATAGATTGAAAAAGGGTCCATATGCTCGAAAAGGTTGGGAATCATTGGTCTAGATGGTACTTAGTCCTGCCATGAGGACAGAGGACTAGACTCAATGACCACTATGATTCTATGATTCTCCCTCCCGTGTTCTCAAAGAACTTTATAGAACCAAGACCTCCCTCCAATAGGCTTAATGTTTAGAAAATCTAGGAGGTTGTGCCCCCTGCTTGCTGTGCTTCCCAACCCCAGCTCTCCCCCCTCCCCTCCGGCCACCAGGGAGGACTGGGCTACAGCTGCGCCAGGCTGGGACCCTCCTCCCCCACCATGCTAGCTGGGGGCCCCCCCTTCCCATTAAATCGGGTTACCTCCTCCCCCTCCGTCACCAGGCTGGGCCCCTTCTCCTCTCTCCCCACTCCTCTGAGCCAGGGCCCCTTCACCCTTCCCCACCAACTCACACCCCCGGCCGCAGCATTCACCAGGCCGAGCTCTAACCTCAGCAACCAAGTGGAATGGGGTGCTTGCCTATCCCACGTGGGGTGCAGAAAGGCGCAGGTAGTGCCACATGCATGTGACGTTCTGGGGCACTGCAGCCTTCTGAAGTGGGAAAAGCAGCAGCGCGGGAGAGGGGAGCACTGTCCTGACCTCTCCCTTCTGAGGTCCTGCCTGAGCTGCTCCCTGCCCCAGCCCTGCTCACAGAGCCCAGGGCCACCCATCTGTCTGCCAAGGTAGAAGGGAAGGAGCAGACAGGTCAGTGCAGCTGATCGGGGGTGCTCTGGCAGCTGCAGAAAGTTTAGCCGCTGGGGAGGGGAATGAATCTCCATGGGGCAGCCGGACTCTGGGCGGTCAGGCACCACGCTCTAGCAGCAGGGGGAACCCCTACCTCAAGAGCCCACTGCTGGCCCATAAGCCCAGCTGGGAGCCCCACTCCTAGCATCTGTCTCTGGGCTGTTGTCCCAATCACTGCACCTCTTCCCCTTCCCCAGGCTGTCACAGCTGCAATGGGGGTCATCTTCATTTCTCTTTGAAATTTGTAATAAGCTGCCTATGAATAATTTGATAGTTAATTGCTTTATACTAATGAATGCAACTAAATTACCAGTGTGTGTCTAGGAAAGAGATTAGCTTCAAAACAACAATATTCGTGCCTATTCTTCAACCAGAAGCCCTGCTGTGACCACAACTTGCTTGAGATATAAAAGAAGTGGGCCTAGATCCTATTTTATCTCAGATCTGCTTAAATTTTGTCAATGAAGGTCTCAGATGCAAGAATCAGGTCTCCTTGATTGCTTGAAGCTACCCAGAGTAGATGAATGAGCAGTCCTGGGGCATCTTGAGTAATGTATTCGGACATGAGCTTTCATGGGTAAAACCCACTTCATCAGCTGAGGAGTGAAATTCCCACTCCAACTCAGCTGATGAAGTATGTTTTACTCACAAAAGCTAATAAATTTGTTAGTCTCTAAGGTGCCATAGGACTCATCATTATATTTCAAGAGTGAACAAGTTGGATATAAAACATACCAACATGCAATGTAGTTACCCGGTATCTCTCTGCAGGGAATCATGTTTCATTTTTTAGTCAGAGTTAAAACAAGCACATTTTCAAAGTAGTGTGAACATATAACTGATCAGTTCTTTATTAATGGGAATCACATGGTTAAATCTTCATTTGCCATTTCAAAAGTCTACTCCTGGTTGAGTTATTTGGCAGTTAAGCTTCTCAATTGAGTGACTGGTAATACAGTATATGCCATTTGTTATACAGGTTGCACTTCTCTAGTCCAGCACACTGACTGGTGCTAAACCAGAATTTGTTGAACCACTGGGCTCTTAAAATACATTAAGGGGTAAATTAGAGATAAATAACAGCACAGAACACAGAGCCAGAACTAGTGGTTGTAAACAAACTTTATGGGACTGGGACGGTGGGAAACTTGGCCATACCCATGCTAAGTAGACATCTAGCTAACTAAAATCATGCTGGACCACAGACGTTGCTGGACCAGAGTGCTGGACTAGAGAGGTTCAACCTATACTTAACTCTAAAGTCTAGTTAATAGTTCTCGGCTGTGTAATTATGAAATTATACTTTGTTTCTGTGTCTTTTTCTGGAGCTCAGGTGTTTATTTCAGGCATTGGATTGCTGACAGTTCACATTTAAAATTCCCTTATGGGACAGATTTACATGGAAATATAACAGCATAATATTGAAACCAAGCAGAACTCAGTCTAAGCTTTGCTGAGAAAAAGACAGTTACCTGTTCTCTAACTGCTGGTCTTTGAGATGCATTGCTCATGCCCATTTAACAGAACTATGTGTGCCTGCCAGATACATTGGTACCAGAAGTTTTGCCCTAAACGGTACCTGCAGAGGCCATGGTCCTCAGCACCCCCTAAAGTGGTGCATAGATGCAACATTATATGGGGAACACCCCCGACCCCTTCTACCTCAGCCCCTTCAGAGGGGAAGGGCTGGG